GATGCACCTTGTTGGTATGAGTAGTACTATTAATCCTCTTAAATTAATCTTGGGTATTACAGGTCATCCCACTTTTAAAGATATCAACGTTCTCCTGAATCGCTTCCTGGATTCCACCATAAAACCATGGGTGCAAGAAGCAATGACCGCTCTTGCACAGGAATTTAGGACCACCCAAGCGGTTCAGCCTGAACATCCCACACCCCAACCTGCACCCGAACCCTTCATCTCTCATACCCAACCGATATCTTCTACAGCCCTCTCTCACCACTCCATCAACCAACTACCCATCTCTTCACCTTCTCGGGGCACCCATGATACAGAACCAGTATTATCCCCACACCCGACCACACCTTCCATCGATCTCCTACCGCTACCCTTCGACACCTTGGCATCGGCTATGCTGGACCATCTCCTCAACATACCGCAAGCCAACCTCACCCCCTACCAGCAAACCATCCTCAGTGCCATCCTCTCTTCACCTGAGACCAAGAGCAAATGCCATGACAGTCCTCGTGGTCGCAAACGTTCCCATGAGGACCCCGACGATTCGGATCCTCATGAGGGGGAGAACAAGCGGCCACGAACACTCGAGCAAACTGCTTTCACCAGCCACACTCCACAACCCGATCAACCTGAAACCTCCACCAACCAACAGCCACCCGTAGCCAACCAAACCCAAGCCAAACTTTCTAGCCTAGTCGAGCTAGATGAAACATCCCGAGGCGTGTCTCTTAAAGATACCAACCGAGTAGGGGATGGAAGTCCTGATGATGCTACTACATGTACGTCTTGTAAGTCATGCCATCAGTTAGAACCTCGTTCGAAGCTGATGACAACGGGAAATCCTAGTGACCCTGGTGTCCCAAGTAACAGGTCTCCGTCACTACAAGATCAACCAGCTCCTACCACTATGTCATCAGACGAAATGCACGATCATCTTGAGGACATCATCATTCATGAAAAATGGCCCAGACAGTGGACGGAGATGGATCAAATAATGCAAGATGAAGAACAACAAGACATGCAAAGGAGCTGGCTCTTACGGGAACTGATAAACAAATGTGCGGAGGACATAATCAGGCTCGAGGATGAGGAACGAAAGGAAGGGGAAAACTACAAGGAAACTCAAAAAGAACTCGAATCTATTGTCAGACAAACGGCGGGACGACTTCCCAAGACTGAGAATCCTTGGGAAAATGTACTCATACAAACTTCAATGCACCGATGGAAGTGAATTCACATGTCAGGAAAACGACTTCATCATGCTCAAACCAGATGACATCTACCAAATGTTTATGGCATACGGATACCTCCCAGTCAGAAAAAGCAGAACATACAGCGAAGGCCTCGCAGCAATTAAGAGGTTCATGCTTAGACAAGTCAGAGTCCACTCATCCCATGACCTACAGATGGCTATTGAGTGCAACATGACAAAGACAAATCTAACACAACCAAGACTGTATGGTCCAGAGCTCGAGGACTTCCCTGCATATCACATCTTCTTCACACCACCAACAGTTACATATCTAAATCACAAGAATGAAAAACGCCTGATGATGATTAGCGAAGTTGAGAAATACTGTGATGGAACACTGAAGATCATCAGAGAACAGCTGCTGAAGATGAAGAAACAGCTGGATCAAAAACTTGAGGAGGCATCGTCATACATTCTAAAGGAACATTCGACGCTGGAAGCCATTCTAAAATCCATTGACGATCGCCTGGACAGGAGAAACGTGATGAGACAATATGAGCACGCGCTAAACATGAGGAAGCACTACTTCAAAGCTCAGAAGCAATAGCAAGGTGGCACTTGATCACAAAGGGGGAGATTGTTGAAGATCATTTAATTGTGAATCAAGTTTGTCACATATCTTGTAATAGATTAGCTTTATTATATCCTTGCATTCAATATTTGTATTTATTAGGGTAAAGGATATGTGGCCAATGTGTCAGGCCCATATCAGGCTGAAAGCCTTTTCCGCCAACCCTATACATGTGCATATAAAAAGGGACTTCAGATTTAGGGTTGCGTTAACTTTCGTACTCGTTCCAAATAGCCTTAGCGCAATATTCTTCTCTGTACGAGTTCACGGTATATCAAGGAAGGTTACCATCGATCATTTTGTGTTCATCTTTATCGTTAATCTTCTGCTTGTTATACTCTTAATCTTTGCTGAAATAGAAAACATGGACTAACAATAAGTTAGCGAAGAAGAATGTTAGCGAAGGGAATGGGGGTTAAAAAAGAAAGAGACGATATATATAAATGCCTGAACCGTAGGGAGTGTTGAATTTGTGCTGGACTATTAAGTTAAAAATTGTCTGAGCGAATAAGTCATGTTTTAAAATAAGTCCTAAGTAAATAAGAGTACATGGTGACCGAATAAGTCATTTTAAAATTAAGTCGAAAGTAAACAACTCCTTAGTTTGTAAAAATGGCATGTTGTCCTAGACAATAACTAAATAACACATCAAGCACAATATGTAAGCAAGGAGAAATTGAGTCTTGAATATTTTTTCGCCTTCTACATCTTTCTTTACTTGATTGGTGAAAACTTGCGATTTGGAACTTCGGTTGATGGAGTATATGGGTCTGAGCCCCAGGTCCCACATACTCGGAAGAACAGAGCACAAGACAACAGAGTGGCGCCCTCGTCGGCCAAGACGCCCCCGTCGGCCGAAAAGGGGCCAACTCAGATTACGGTCCTGAGTTTAAGGAACTCGGGTGCCCTCGTCGGCCGCGCCCTCGTCGGCCGTGCCCTCGTCGGCCACGCCCTCGTCGGCCACGAAGACCTCCCAGAATCAGATTCTATACTTACTCATTTGTACAGCCCATTAGAGGCTTTGTATTCGGCCCAGTAGCGGTCCAGTTGTAAATGGGCCTCCCAAGCCCAAGGCTTGGGAGCCCAACCCTAATTTTCTCTATAAATACTCCCCTTGGGAGTAGTTATAGGGGTTACAAAATCATTCTATTGAAGCATATTACTGCACTTCTCTCTCTAGCTCTCACTTCTCTCTAGATATACTCTATCATTTGGTGCTCTCGTTGAGAGCTAGAACAATCAAGTTAGCACCCTTCGTCGCTACCAAGCACAGCTAACCACTGATCATGGGGAGAACTAAGTCAAACCGCAACCTCATCAGCAAAGTCATCCCTGAGGACCAAGAGCCCAGGGAGCACGATGAGGACGCCACGGCTGACCAGGTCGGCGGAGGGGACCTCTTCCAGGAGGCCTTCAACCTCACGACGGACCTCCGCAACCAACTCAACGGCGGAGTCCCCGACGCCCGCCTCGGCCTGGAAAAGAAACGAGCTGAGAAAGCGGACCACGCCCCGGCCCAGCCTATGGCCGCGGCCTCTCCGTCCGTAGATCCTCAGGTCCAGGCCGCACTGTCGGCTATCATCGCCAGCTTGGTTCAGAATCCCACCGTCCTCAGCGCACTCTTGCCAAGGACCGGGGGAAACGTCACTCCACCTCCTCATCCCCAACCACTGGCCGACCAGATAGGCAACAATGAGGGGGTTGTGGCCCGGGACACGGCGTCGTCCCACTCCCACCCTGCTTCCCCTCTTCGGCCCGGGCAGACCCCAGCGCGTGGAAAAGCCTCTGCCTTCAATAGGCTGGGTGACACGCGCCGTCGTCCGGTTTCGGAGAGGATGGCGGGACGGATTGGTGATCCTCGTCCTGGCTCGCCAAGGGAGAGTTTGGGGTCTGTGTCCCGGACAGCGGACCAGCCCCGCCCGGACAAGGGCAAGGGGAAGTTGCACGAGGATGACGTGCGTCACCAGATCAACGCGGCTCACAACGAGCGCCTGAGGAACCAGCCGGGTGCCGCCGCGGCCGACAGGGACCCCCGGGACGAGGTCATCGCCCAGCTGGAAAGGAGGTTGGCTCAGATGGAGGCCAAGCAGTCGGCCAACATCCCTACGGCCGGCGCCTCCAACGATCCCGGCCTCAACGCGCTCATGAACAAAGTCAGCGCCCTGGAGAGGGAGCTGGCCGAAGGGCAGGGTGACCCTATCATCCAGGTCAGGACTAGGACCCCTTTCACCAACAGGGTCCTCTCGGCCCCCATCCCTGAGAAGTACAGGGGGAACGCCATCAAGTCCTACGATGGCCGATCAGACCCCCAGGAGCACTTCAGCCGTTATCAAAACAACATGCTGATGGTGAACGCGTCCGACGAATACCTCTGTCGTTGGTTCCTCTCTACTCTCGAGGGGCCAGCGTACGAGTGGTTCAACGGACTGCCAGAGGGAAGCATTGACTCATGGCAAGATCTCGCCCAGCGCTTCCTCACTCACTTTGCCGGGAGGAAGCGCGCCAAGAAGTATTTCACCCACCTCCTCTCCGTCAAACAGCAGCACGAGGAGTCCCTCCGGTCATTCATCGACCGGTGGACGAGGGAGACCGAGGAGGTCGAGGGGGCCGATGAGCGCACCCTCCTCGCCTTGTACCAGGGAGCCCTCCGCAGCTCCCCGTACGCCAGGAGCCTCATCACTGACCCCCCGAGGTCATACGCCAAGGCGCTCCAACGCGGAGGCTTGTATGCCGACGCCGACGAGCTCCACAATCACAAGAGAGAGGGGGGCCATCCCCCCAAGAAGACAAATCCTTCGCCGGCCTCGGGTCCGTCCCTGGCCGGCCAGGGTGCCCAGGGCCGCCACGGCTCTGGTGGACAAAGTAAGAAAGACCGCCACTGGCGGCCGAGGCTGGAACGGCCGGGGGTAACCCTCACCCACCCGGTCGGCACCATCCTCGATTATGCCGAGAAGAACGGCCTCATTGAGCAGGCTCCTCGGCCGGCCGAGGAGATCCTTGCCATCCAACAAGGCGGCACATACTGCCGGTTCCACAAGAACTCGTCGCACAACACCGACGATTGCATCACATTGAAGAAGGCCATCGAGCGCCTTATTCGCCAGGGGGAACTCTCCCAGTTTGTCAAAGGTGGCCCGTGCAAGAACACTTGGGTAAACACCGGCAAACATGGGGGCGAACCCTCTGCGAAGAAGCGGGAGATTGGTAGACTCAGCGACGACGAGGACTTCGAGGAGCCTCCGCCGAAGAAGAATCACATCCACCTCATAGTGGGTGGAAACACTGGGGGGGACTCCGCCACTCAGAGAAAGAAGTGGGCCCAATCCCTTTACATTGGGGAGGTGTCCCACGTTCCCCCCCAGCCGAAGAAGCAGCGAACGGAGGCGATCACCTTCACCGACAAGGATCTGCCTCCGGGTACGGAATCACACAGGGACGCCCTCGTCATCCGATGTGAGATCGGGGACTCCATCATCCACCGTACTTACATCGATACGGGGAGCTCCGTCAATGTGATGTACTTGGACACCTTCAAGCAGCTGAAGCTGGACAGAGCTCTGCTGAAGCCGATCAAGACCCCGTTATCCGGCTTCACCGGGGACTCTATCGACGCCGAGGGCACGATAGTCCTCCCCGTGGAAGTCGGTGACGGCCCCCACCATGCCAAAATCAACATGGAGTTCATGGTGGTCAACCTCCAGTGCGCCCACAACCTGATCTTGGGCCGGCCAGCGCTGGAGGACTTGGAGGCCATCATCTCCACGAAGCACCTATGCTTGAAGTTCCCCACCAATGACGGCATCGGCTACGCCAGAGGAAATCAGAGGATAGCCAGAGCTTGCTATCTCAAGCTAACAAGGCCGGCCGAAAGGGAAGGACAGCGGATAGACACCATTACGGCCGCCGTCGCCATGGACGAGGAGAGGCCACATGCGGAGCCGGCCGAGGAGATCGAGGAAATCCCCTTGGATACCTCCCGGCCGGAGCGGGTTCTCAGGGTCGGAAAGCAACTCCCCCAGGACCAACGAGACGCCATCCTCCTCGTCCTACGGTCATACGCCGTTGTCTTCGCGTGGGGCCCGGACGATATGCCAGGCATCAGCCGCCAGGTGATCACTCACCGGCTGACCATCGATCCGGCCTCCGCGCCGGTCAAACAGAAGCGGCGCTACTTGTCCGCCGACAGGCGGGGCTTCGTCAAAGGGGAGGTCGCCATGCTCCTCTCAATCAAACACATCAGAGAGGTGAAGTACCCGACATGGTTGGCCAACGTCGTCCTCGCACAAAAACCGCCGACGTTCAGAATGTGTGTTGACTACACTGACCTGAACAAGGCGTGCCCCATGGACCCGTTCCCTCTCCCCAACATTGATCAGCTGGTGGACGAGACGGCGGGGTGCGAGTTGATGTCGTTCCTCGATGCTTTCAGAGGGTATCACCAAATCTCCATGCATGAAGATGACGCTGAGAAGACGACATTCATGACCCCAGAGGGAATCTTTTGCTACCTCGTCATGGCCTTCGGACTCAAAAACTTCGGCGCCACCTACACTAGGATGGTGGCCAAGATCTTCAGAGCGGTCCTTGGCCGGACAATGGAGGCGTACGTCGACGATATGATCGTCAAGAGCAGGCAGACCACCTCCCACGCCGACGACCTCCGGGAAATCTTGGAGATAATGAAGGAGTTCAGGCTCCGCCTCAACCCCAAGAAATGCGCCTTCGGCGTCCAGGGTGGCAAGTTCCTCGGCTACATGGTCAGCCGGAGAGGCATCGAGATAAACCCGGAGAAGACGCGGGCTATCATCAACATGGAGCCGCCCCGCAACGTCAAGGAGGTACATCGACTGACGGGGCGCCTGGCGGCCCTAAACCGGTTCCTCTCCAGGTCAGCCGAGAGGGCACTCCCTTTCTTCCAGATCATGCGTAAGGCAAACAGCTTCAAGTGGACAGCGGAGTGCCAGGGAGCATTCGACGAAATGAAAAGGTACCTGTCGTCCCCACCCGTACTCTCCAAGCCCAAAGCCGGCGAAACCCTCTTCTTGTACTTAGGGGTGAGCACGTCGGCCATCAGCTCCGTGCTCATCCGTGAGGACGAAGGGGTGCAGAAGGCCATCTTCTACATCAGCAAGACACTTAGGGAGGCCGAGCTCAGGTACTCCCCCATTGAAAAGACGGTGCTGGCCATCGTCCACACCGTGAAGAAGCTGGGGCACTATTTCCAAGCCCACACCGTCCATGTGCTGACCCAGCAGCCTCTTGGCGCGCTCATGAGGAACCCCACAAGCTCCTCGAGGATGGTGAAATGGGCGATCTTCCTCAGCCAGTTTCAGATTAAGATCAAGGCAAGGCCATCTGTCAAAGGGCAAGCCTTGGCCGACTTCGTCATCGAATGCACAGCAAGGCAGACGGCCGTCGCCAACCCCGGGCCGGAGCCGGACGACACGTGGACCCTGTTCACTGACGGCTCGTCGGCCGCGAAATCATGCGGCGGCGGCGGCGTCCTCATATCCCCTGAAGGGTTCAGAGCTTACTATGCCATCCGCTTCAACTTCAGGGTATCCAACAACGAAGCCGAGTATGAGGCCCTCCTCAGCGGTCTCAGACTCTCCGCCGGCCTCAAGGCCAAGCACCTCAAGATCAAGTGCGACTCCAAACTGGTAGTGGGCCAGGTGGAGGGATCGTACGAGGCAAAGGAAGGCCGGATGAAGTACAAACAAGTAGCGGAGGAATTGCTGAAAGCGTTTGAAACCCACGAGATCACTCAGATCCCAAGGGCCGAGAACGCTGAAGCCGACATCCTCTCCAAGCTCAGCTCGGACACCCCGGAGCACATCTCCCACTTGGCCAAGATCGAGGAGTTGAGCATGTCCAGCATCCATGCCAGCCCCGTCTTGTGTGTCCAACAGCGACCAGAGGACTGGATCTCCGACATCGCCACCTTCATCACCACGGGGGAGCTGCCCCAGGACGAGGAGAGGGCCAAACTTGCCAAACTCAGGGCCCCAAGCTACACCATAAAAGATGGTAAACTCTACAAACGGTCCTACAATGGCACTCTCCTCCGATGCCTGCACCAGGACGAGGCCGACACCGCCATGGAAGAAGTTCACTGTGGCGTCTGCTCCTCGCACCAGGGTCCTTTCAGCATGTCCCGGCGTCTCGTCGTCCAGGGCTTCTTCTGGCCGACGATGGCACGGGACTGCGCTGACCTGGCCAGGAAGTGCACCACATGCCAGGTACTCCAGAAGGCCCCTGGTCGGCCAGCTGTCAACTATGCCCCTGTCAGCACCGCAATTCCATTCTCCAGATGGGGGATTGACCTGGTCGGCCCCCTGCCCAGAGCCGCCGGGAATAACCGCTACATCATCGTCGCCGTCGACTACTTCACCAAGTGGGTCAAGGCGGAACCCTTGGCCAGCGTCACGGGGGCCAGATGCCAAAGATTTGTTTACAAGAACATCATTACACGCTTTGGCGTCCCCCAGGAGATTATATCAGACAACGGCACCCAATTCGAGGCAGCCCCTTTCCAGGAGCTCCTCCGGGAGTTTGGGGTGAGGCACCGTTTCTCCTCCGTTGCCTATCCTCAGGGCAACGGGCAGGTCGAGAACGCCAACAGAACAATAATGGAGGGGCTGAAGAAGAACCTCCAGGCCGCAGGAGGTAGTTGGGTCGACGAGCTCCCCAACATCCTGTGGTGCTACAGAACCACGCCGAGGAGGGCGACAGGTGAAACATCTTTCGCCCTGTGCTACGGCTTTGAGGCGAAGGCGCCCACGGAGGTAGCCATCCCCAGCCGACGAGTGGAGCAATATGAGCCTGACACCAACGAAGAGAACATGAAGATTGACCTGCACCTGGTTGATGAGAGGCGTGAGCAAGCTTACGTCCGAGCAGAGAACTACCGGCGTCAAGTGAAATCATACTATGACGCCAAGGTACGTTCCCGGGAATTTCAGGTGGGGGACTACGTCCTCCGCCGAAGGGAAGCAAGCCAGCCGACAGAGGGTGGCAAGCTAGCATTGAAGTACGAAGGGCCCTACATCGTCAGTGCTGTGGTCAAACCCGGCACCTACACGCTTAAACGCCCGAATGGGTCCAATGTTCCACGAACATGGAATGTACACCATTTGGTGAAGTTTTATCAGTAATCCGAAGGAGGTGCAGACGGCGAAGCCCTCACCCCTTAACGGGTTACTGATTGAACGCCACCCTCGGCCTCGAGCCACTTATGAATAAAATCATGTTCTGATTTTTTCTCCGGAAATTCAAAGTAAAACATTAGCAGGTGCCCTCGTCGGCCACCTTAGAGCGAAAGGCTCAGGTCTGGCCGACATGGCCCCTTGCATTTGCAGCCTACGAGCGACAAGCTCAGGCACTCCATTGTATTTTGTATCAACAAGGAACCATGGCTAGCCGACGAAGGCAGGACCTTGGCCGGCAGCGGCACCGCAAATAAGTAAATGCTTAACATTTATACTTAGGAAATTTACCTAAGTACTCAAATGGAAGAATTCTGGACGAAGCGGGTACATATATATTCCAAGGCCGTTAGCTACCTACGCCTTGTATATGTACTTGGGAAAAATTCAAAGTCCACAAGACTATGGCGAACGTGCCCTTGTCGGCCACAACACAGGGATGCGACAATGACACTGGTTCAACACTTGGCAAGTCACCCCAACCATTTGCCAATAATGGGGAGAGACTAAACCCCATGGACGTAGCGGACACCACGATCACGGGCAAAAGGACCAAAAGCTGACAAGGCCACCATGCCACAAGGAAGCAACTGTAAAAACCCAAAAACACTTAGAAATTTTTTGAAAAATTCCCAAGTGTTATGATACTGCATCAACACCGGAGTGGCCGACAAGGCCACCAGGCCGAAAGGAAAGCGCCTAAGTGGATCCCAAAGTGTTATGAAACTACGTCCAGGCCGATCAAGCCACTAGGCCGTAAAGACAGCAGCTACATGGACCCAAAAACACTTGGGAAATTTTTGAAACAAAATCCTAAGTGTTATGATAGTAAAGCAAAGAGGAATAGGCCGACCAGACTACTGGACAGGAAGGCCAACCTTACGGACGTAGCGGACACTCGCGGGTGACCCAAGTTATGACTTGACACTGACAATTTACTGAATTGAAATGACAAAGGCAAACAAGCATACAATGGATTCAAAGCCGAGAAGGATGGCAAAAATTCTTTCATTAATCAATTCATTACAATGGGGGCGCTTCGGCCGTTACATCACTTGGAAAAAAATTGAAAATCTAATTACAAATGAGTAGCCTATCAAGCTTCGGGGGCACCTCCATCTGCGGCTGTCTCATCGGCCTCATCAGCTCCCTCTTCGTCCTCAGCTTCTTGGCCGGCAGCAGGTGCAGCACTGGTGGCATCGTCCAGGAAGTCGAATTCAGTGTAGTCCGGCTCGCCGAGGCCGGAGCTTTCTGTGGGGGACTCTCGCTCCGACAGCGGAAGCTTGGCCTGCTCTTCTGGATCCTTCATCAGCTTTGGCAGCTTCAGGTTCCGTCTTGCCCACCCAGACGTGTAATTCATGGCCTTCAACGCCCGAGATAGCCGCCGACACAGGAGCCTTTGCATCCGCTCCTGGCCCAGGTTGTAATAAACGGACATCTCCCG